ATTACTGGCTTAAAAAACACACACCCCTTTTAATAAACTCTAAAGATATATTCTGTTAGCGGCATTCTACATCTGCACACCGCTAACACCTTCCTTGCTAACCTAGAATGAGGTTTAGTCGTCTCCTTTTGTTTGCTAAACTGCGATACTACCTAACGTTATTAGCATCTTATCGTGGGGCAATTGTTGAGTTCTGATGATATTTAACGGATTCATCTGTCAAGTCTCTGGCTCAAACACACCTCCCTTTTTTAATAAACTTTAAAGATATCTGCTGTTAGCTGAATGCTAAATCTATAAAGCTTCCTTTCTAACGTGGGAAGAGGTTTAGTCGTCTCATTTAGACTCTTGTTAGCAGCAGATTCTCATCCCTGCACCTCTTTACAGGAGGCAGTCTGCGTTGATGACTCCCTCCTCTCCTACATTAGCGCTCTCATTACTCAGATGTCTTATTTGCTGTTTCACAGTTCCTCCTCTTCCCTGAGGAGTCATTAACCTCGTCTCCAAACTCTTCCTCCAACATCTGGAGTGTTCCTCTCTCCACCTGTTCCCCTGCAGGTGACTGAGTGTTAATGGGAACATCAGGAGCCATCTGCTGCAGGAAGGAGACGAGGAAATCAATGTAAGTCATGTCCTCTAAAAATGATGAAAAAGGCCCAAAGCAACTCTGACAAAGCCCGTTATTTCATCAATATTTCCACCTGTATTCAGGGAGGTTAAATGCAGGAAAACCCCCAGTAATTAGCACGGTATATCCCTTTAGCATTTCCAAAAGAGACGCCTAAAGGTCTTTGCACGGCAAACTGACACCAAAGAACACGTCCGGACGGAACGTCGCCTCACGTCGCCTCACGTCTCCTGCGTCTCCTGCGTCTTGGCCATGTGTCGCACTGGAACACACCGCAAAGACTTCAGCCGACGGCCAAGTTGCATGTACGAGCTGCGCATGCGTGAGTGGCAATAACTCTCCTGACCAGCATGCGGCGGTAGTGTGTATTCATCATTCAAAAGAGGCAACAACCGGAAGACAGAATGCAAACAACAAATAGCGTGTTCCATGTTCCCTCTCCAGCATGAGCTCGCGGGGCTTTCCCCAACCTGAGTCGAGAGCTGGAGTTCAATGGAATCTCAGATTTGCCTTCTTAATAGTTTGTTTGGGTCCCTCACTTCCGTTTCGCTTCTCATGCACTGATTCGCTAGCTGAACAGCCAATCAGAGTGATTCATTTAGCCGACAGCCTCCCGATTAAACATGTTGAATCTGCGGCGGAAGGTGTCGCCACGGCCGAAAAGACACGACGGTGCGGGACACACCACGACACACCAATCTGAGTAGGGTGTCAGGACGCTCATCGACGGCCCGACATCTATCCACGGCCGAAATCGGCTTGGTGTGTAAGGGACTTTAATCGTCCAATGTCCAACATGTTCAAATCTGTCCGCTCATAATTTCCTGGTGGAAATAATGCCTGGAATCAAAATTCCACGTACGTGTCAGCCTTCCTGGTAATAAACTTGCTCCTAAAGTGTGAGGGATGTTAAATGCAGGAAAAGCTCAAATTAGCACGGTATATTCCTTTAGCGTTACCGAAAGAGCCGCCTGAATTGGGTTTCTGTTATCTGTTAAAAAGCGTATTTTGACCGAAAAAGTCTGATGAAGTGCAACATATTATTTAAATCTCTCCGCTCATAATGTCCGGTGGAAATTATGCCCTGTAGGCACAATTAATATTGTTTTAAAATAGGATTACATTTAATTTTAGACCTAGATTTCCTGCAACTAATTGGGTGCATAGGTGGAGATAGAGCATGTTAACAAGACTGTTTTTATACATGTCTATTCACTGCTCTAAGTTCTATAACAATGAAGTGGACCAGCAGGTATTTTAAACACACGACTATCCAGCTTTATTTCCTCTTTTATATATTATTCAGTCTCTCTTTTAAACTCTTAATCAGAGCTTGAGACAGTTGATCAGTGGAAAGACAAACATGCCTATGTTGTGTTCAATAATAAATAATAATAAGTGTCAGAAACCCTGTTGATTGGATTTCTTTAAACACTTAGAAAATATGCTTTTCCCCCTGGATGTCATGTTTCTCTCTCTAGAAAACACGGTCACTACTGCAGGGAGTTTTTCCAGGAATCAATGCTGATTGTGAGATTTCCCACTCTTGATAAATGCAGATTTGTGTGTGTGTGTGTGTGTGTGTGTGTGTGTGTGTGTGTGTGTGTGTGTGTGTGTGTGTGTGTGTGTGTGTGTGTGAATCTGGCAGGAAACATGCTGATGGCTCAGATCCCAGTATCAGAGCTCTTCTTATCGGCTTGTCTCTGTTGGAAGAAAACAAACCCAGTAGCTTCTGGTTCTCCTCGTTGCAGGGATGCTATCTGCTGTCTAATTGCTTTCTGATTGGACAGGAACACAGTGTGCCGGCTCTTAGGGGGCCATCACTCCGATAGAAGAGCTCGATATGTTGCTGTGGTAATTATCTGCTGTTTGTAATAAACTGAAACGCTGCAGAGAGGCTTTTACCTGGCAGACACGCTGTTATTGCAGATTAAAACTGAGCTGTCATGGCAACAGCTCCATCATCCTCTTCTCTACCTGCAGCTCAAATCAATCACATGTCTGAACAAACCATCAGCTGACCTTTACACACTGACAAACCTCTGCTATGTTCACATCGAGCTCACACACTTGTCGTTTTTAGTAAAAAGGGTCGCTCTTATCTTACTACACTAACTCAACGTACCATCTACATGCAGGGTGTTCTTGATGACAAAGCACACATGTTTCTGGAGTTACAGTGCAGAAGTGACTTTATTAAGTGCTATGAATGAAGTACATTGAGTTAGTTAGCAGGAGTCCACGATGCGCTTCATGCTCATGAACTTCTGTCCGCTCATGCCCATGTCCTTGAAGCTGCGATACTCTCCAGGCCTGACGTACATCATCTGACCTCTGAAGCTGGGCTGCTCGTACATCAGCCAGTGTCCGTCCATCACCTGGCAGGACATGCAGTCGTTCATCCTGTAACGCTCCATGATGTTATCACAGTCGTCCATCAGCTCGTAGCTCTGGCCTCCGTAGTTCTCCCTCTCGTAGATCTTCATTCTGTACTGACCACGGTGCTGTGGTACCAAGACAGAAACATCGGGTTAGTGGGGAGGAAAGAGTCAGAAACACAATCTAAAGTACAGAAATAACGATAGATCTTCATTCTGTACTGTCCGCGGTGCTGTGGTACCAAGAGACGAACATCAGCTTAGTGGGGAGGCATGTGTGGGGTGGAAAGAGTCAGAAAGACAGGCGTTACATAGCTGAAGGAGGCTACTGTTGGGCTATAAAGGAACTACAGCACGGTCACATGACTTCACGTCACCACCGCTAAGCTAAAGGTGGCTAATGTTGGGCTATAAAGGAACTACAGCACGGTCACATGATTTCACGTCACCACCGCTAAGCTAAAGGAGGCTAATGTTGGGCTATAAAGGAACTACAGCACGGTCACATGACTTCACGTCACCACCGCTAAGCTAAAGGCGGCTAACGTTGGCCTTGTTTGACACAGAGGTTCTTTTCCTATTGCTGTGTGTCCAGTTTTATGCTAATCTCCAGGTTTCCTTCTTCAGAACCCCTGCATCTCTCCACAGATTCATCTAATCAACACCTACCATGGGGATCATGCGGCAGGACTTGATGCAGTCCCTCATGCCCATCATGCTCTGGTAGTCGGAGTACTCTCCCCTCCTCATGAAGGACTGGTTGCCCATGTAGTTGGAGCGGTCGTACACCATGAAGCAGCCGCTCTCCACTTTGCAGGAGTGGCACCTGCTCAGGTTAGAGGTCATATCGGAGCAATCGCTCATGCACTCATAGGAACGACCCTGGAAGTTCTTCTCCTCATAGAAGACGATCTTTCCCCTCATGTTCATGCCAGAGTTGCTCATGTTTGCTGTTGATGTTGTTGATTCTGTACCTTCCTGCTGCTGCGTTAGCTTTTATAGGAGTAAAGAAGCCCTGACTCAGCAACGACCATTGGAGCAGTCTTTAGAAAAACCCCTTTTACTGGTTTTGTTAGAGAGACAATGCAGTGAATAGGGAACAATTCACAAAGGTCCAGAGAACGAGAGGGGGTGTTTGTGTGGATCTGTGTGTGAGCGCAGAGCATAGAGGGGCAAACGTGTGACTTTAGCACCTGTGGAAATATCCTTTTGTTCCACTGGAGAGAAAATATATAAATAAATATGTATATTTTAATTGTATTGATTTTCTGTTAGATCAGGCCTTTCCGTCGTCAATCATTGACAGAAAACGACCAAAAATAGACGTTATTATGAAAACTATTTCATAAACACAAACTAAAGTACAGAAAAAATGCTATGCAAAATAAAACGTGTGCTGTTTTTAAATTAAACGAGAGAGCTGTGAAAATATCCCTTTGTTTCAAAGAATAAAACATGTAATTTAAAGTTAAAAAAAATAAGTGGCTTCATTTTTAAAAGTTAGTGAACATATAAAAGTGTCAAAGGAGCCGGTAACGTTGACAAATTGTAATAAAAATAAAGCTTAAATTGCACATCTGTGTTGGTGTGGCACGCACATATTCATTTACACATCTACAACTGGAAACAAATAATAAAACACTAAAGGAATTCAGATCCAGTTAAGGCTTTAAGTGAGCCCTGTTTCTGGCCGTATTTAATTCAGAATTGACATTTTTCCTCACATACAATTAACTAAAGCTTTAGCGCCTGTGGAAATATCCATTTGTTCCAAGAAATATAAAGTATTTACTGGTACTTTTTCTTGGGTCACAAGAGGACGATGAATGAAAGCAGAAGAAAAGACTTACAGTGAGTTTGAATGTGGTTTAATTTGACCTCTTTGTGCCTGAAACGCTGATTTAAAGCAGCCTCATTGAGGGAGAAGTCTTCTGTGGATCACGGTATAATTATTCATGCCCTCCCTCCCGTTTAATTCACTCTGTGAGTTTGAATCAAAGCGTCTCTCTTTCGTTAGCATATTCCCCTTCTCTCTGTAATAGCTTTTACATTACAGCGGGCCGTGCATAATGTAAAAGGATATATCCTCCTGACTGTAGGCAGAATGATTACTCTCCGCTGAGAGAGGAGGAATACACACAGAGGAAATTGAGATCTGGAGGATGAGGAGCTTCCTCTGAACATCTCTGTACATTCTTTAACATCTCCTAACATCTCATAACATCCTTTAACATCTCCTAACATCCTTTAACATCTCCTAACATCCTTTAACATCCTTTAACATCTCCTAACATCTCATAACATCTCTTAACATCTCCTAACATCTCATAACATCTCTTAACATCTCCTAACATCTCTTAACATCTCCTAACATCTCCTAACATCTCATAACATCTCTTAACATCTCCTAACATCTCTTAACATCTCCTAACATCTCCTAACATCTCTTAACATCTCCTAACATCTCCTAACATCTCTTTAACATCTCTTAACATCTCATAACATCTCTTAACATCTCCTAACATCTCCTAACATCTCCTAACATCTTCTAACATCTCTTTAACATCTCCTAACATTTCCTAACATCTCCTAACATCCTTTAACATCTCCTAACATCTCCTAACATCTCCTAACATCTCTTAACATCTCCTAACATCTCATAACATCCTTTAACATCTCCTAACATCTCCTAACATCTCCTAACATCTCCTTAACATCTCCT